CCAAACCCCCCCCCAGCGTTACCTCCGGATGCTCTCCGGCAGAGAGTAGTGATCGACAGCAAGCGCAGGCAGGATCCGCAGGTGGCACTGGGGAGGGGTCAATGGGACGGACCCAGGGCTGTACCTGATCACAACGTCGTACGTGTTGATGGTCTCCCCCATGGAGCTGTTGCGGAGCCGGTGGCCGTTGCCCACCACCGCGCACCTCCGGCACTTCAGGCTGCGAGAGAAAAGCCCTGTCTCAGCCAGACCTGCTCAAACCAAGGCGGTTTTAACCCCCAAGAGGGGGTTTAACCCCGCGTTGTCCACTCTACAAAGCTTCCCATGCTCCGTCCACCATCCCTGGGTTGCAGAGGTTCATTTTGGCAAATCTCGGGCCCACAACGTGCAAATCTTCCCCCTTCCCAAGAGAGCAACGATGAAGAGAAAGACAGAAAAGCCCCAAAACCCACCCCAGCGTTACCTCCGGATGCTCTCCGGCAGAGAGTAGTGGGTGATCGACAGCAAGCGCAGGAGGACGTCTTCTGCAAAGCAAGGGCGAGGAGAAGTTGAGCAAGGCAGCTCCTGCCTGCTACAACGCCCTGGGTGTTGCCCCATCCCTGCCAGATCTCCTCCTGCCGTTAATCCCAGCTCCCCCCGGATCTGGGCAGATAATCCTTGGCTGGGGCTTAGCAAAGCCTGGCCCACCCTAAACCCCTTTAAAAGGGACCACGTGCACCCAGGGCGAGTAGACACACGCCACAAAGTCTTAAAAAAAAGAAAATCAAGCAAACAACTTGCTAGGGAGAAGTCAAAAAGAAAATAGTCGTGTGTCCGTCCGTCCCGTGTCCCCCCCCCAAAAAAAAAAATCAACCTGCAGATGTTTTTAAGAAGGACAGACAGATGGACAGACAGAAACCCACAGCGAGCGCTGCCAAGGCTTACCGCTTCCTTTCGTGCCGTAGGGCAGCTCGTAGAGCGACGGCGTCTTCACCCAAAAATAGTCCTTCAGCTGCAAGAAGAGCGGGTTGTCCCTCGTGTAGCTGCCAAGGAGCAAAGGGCCGGTGAGACCGGGATGGGGGGACGGCACGGGGCGAGGGTGGTCCTGGCTCTGCGTCCCCCCCTCCTTGCTCCCAACCCCGATACTCACTTCCCGATGAGCTGCGCCGCTTTCTTTTCCACCTCCCCGAGGGGACACGTCGTCTTGTTTTCTTGCACGGGGAAATAAAAGCTGTAAGGGAAG